GGGGGGGGAGGACGCTGTGGAGAGAGTGGTAGCACGGGCGGACGCTGAGGCTGTGTAGGATGGGCGAGAGGCAGCGGATGTTCATGTGGAGGGCTTGCAACAGGCGGTGGATGAGGTTGTGCAGGCAGGACGGCGGCGAGACGAGGGTGTGGGTGATGCACGATGTGTGGTCCAGGAGACAATGATGGGTCTAGTCGTTCCGTTCTCGGGCCTGCACTTGGCTCAGGGCCGACAGTCGCAGCCGGTGCCGGTGGCAGTGCATGGTGTGCCGCCGCCCGTTATCACGGATTTGGGGTCCGAGCCGGTGGTTGGGCCACCGCGTCTTCCTAGTCACTTTGCTCCGCAGGAGGTCCGCCGTCCTTTGGATGCAGACGAGTTGGCGAGAGAGGTTGTCCGCGATGTGACTTGCTTGGACCGGTGGGTCTTTGACCAGAGGCTACAGCATCCACCATGGCAGGTGATCCCTCCAGTTCCATGGGGTCCTGCATCGCCGGTGTGGTCTGGGTCTACCTCCACCGGAGCACGTACGGCGGAAGATGTTCCAGGGGTTTCAGGTGGCGTCGTGGAGACGGCGCCATGTACACGAGACTTGCCACCCCCTCCTCCTAGACCACCTGTAGGTGATCCGTCATCGTCGCCCACAGGCAGAGGCTCTCGATCTCCACACACGCCTGGGAGGTCTGGGATTCAGGAGACTACAGTTGTTGTGGGGGACGTGAGTGACACAGCGTTGTTCGGGAGGACAGACATAGATTTGGATTCCACCCGCCGTGTCACGGAGCACACTGCACGTCTACAGCCGGGTTTGGGACCCCGCGGTGGCAGGATGACCGTAGCGAGGGAGGTGGCAGCATCAGGTTGTGAGCCTCAGCGAGGTCCCGATAGAGGAGTGTCCGCCGATAGCTTGGAGTACGCTCTGATGGCAGCGATGTGTGTCGTACATGAGCAGACTCCACGCAAGCGCGGAGTGCCTCCTCGTCCACGCCCCGTGCCCGCAGAGGGAGGAGATGCACTTGGAGAGACTTCGGGGGCAGAGGGGTTGGGGATGCCTCGTGGATCGCGCCGTGAGCAGACGGTTACAGAGGCTAGTGCGAGGGTTGTTGTGTTGAGGAAGGCAGGAGCCCCTGTCACCATCGAGGAGGATGATCCTGAGACAGATGTGGCAATGCGGGTGGAGGACGCGGACTATGAGGGCGAGGAGGAGGGAGAGGAGGAGAGCGAGGGAGGTTCCGATGGTGACTACGACCACGACGAGCACGAGCCCCCACCTCCCCCACCGAAAGGTGCAGCCAGACGGCGCGCTGCGCAGACTTTTTCATCATCACGAGGGAGGATGATTTCCACATCCGGCACGCGAGGGGGTACGAGGAGACAAAGCAGGAAGGGGAAGAAGCATTGTTGACTGATGAGGCCAACACTCCTTTTTCCCCTGCTCGCACTGCGGTTCGTCATGTTGTGCGGTCCTAGTTTTTTTGGTCGTCTCGTCTTGTCTGAGTGTTGTTAGGCTCTCAGTGGTTGTGTGCGTGCAGCGTGCTACAGATGTATTAGATGATGTTTCCTTTGTTTTCGGTGTGTATCATTTTGGTACCAGTATGGTGTTCGTAGAGTAGCGTTGTACCAGTAGGGTGTTCCCAGAGTAGCTACGACACGACTTGTACACTACAGTTTCGTTTGTTTTTTTTCGACATGTGGTACCACTGCCTTAGCAGTAGCCTGTAGGATACATTGCATATGTTGCATTTTTCATTTATGTTTTCAGGGACAGGTACTTTGCATCGTTGAGGACTTTTCATGCACAGTACATTTTCCATGTATAGTTTCAGTTTCGATTGATGCTCGTCGTGGTCGGCGTGCGCGAGCTTTCGTGACCATTTTCATCTGGCGCAATTTTATACATTCCATTGTTGTTATCATTTGCAATCTCATTTCCTGCGTTTGACGCTGTTTGTTTCTTGTACAATTCTACTTCAGTTTTTTGCCTGAAGAGTTGCTTGTGTGGTTGTTCTTTTTTCTTTTCTTTTCTGTGTTGATTGTTGAATCAAATTATCATTGTATGAAGTACTAACTGATATTTGGGGGGGGGACGGGTTGGATGCAAACTGGTAAATGGGGG